TGTGCGAAATCTCCTTGGAGCAACTTTTGCACGATCATTATCTTGTACGGATGAAATTTTAGGTGTTTGTGTGGGATGCGACGTACGGACCGATCTGACATCTGCAAAGCTAAAGCTTGGCGCCGAACAGAACGCCTCGGACTTCTGAGAACTGCCAATCTCACTCTCTCAACGTTTTCAGGGGTACACACAGACGCAGGAAGGCCAGGTGGTTTCCTCTTCATCACAGACTCTGTTGTCTTAGACGCATCAACCCACCTGAGTATCGTGTTACGATCAGGGATGTTTCCACGGCGCTCCACATTGAACTGTTTACGGAAAAGGCGCTGAATGGCAATTACGGATTCACCACTTTTAATATAATTTTCAACCAACACCTGATGCTCGCGGGTCCACGGTGCCATGGCTACTGAAACTGCATCATCTAAGCTGTTTACTAGCAAGGAGCAGAAATCCCCCACCCTCCTCCTTGCCGAGTACTAGCCATTTGAAGAACATGCGTTTCCTCTGCTGCACCCAGTATAAATTTAATTGGACAAAATATATAACTGCAACCTTCCCTTCAACAATCTTCCCACTGAAAATTTGGTGCCTATTTCCCCACTTCAGTTTCTTCCCAAAATTTTAAACATAAACACTTGACCCGAGTAATATTCATAAAATCTTTATTCTTATCTGTTTGATGTACCTTCTGTTTTATTGCTTTGTACTGAATTAAATGACCTGGTTTTATGTTTCAATATACAAGTTTGTAAACACTTATTAAAACTTTGGTTAAATGAATCCTTGAGACAGGAAACATTTTTCAAGAGAACATTTGATTTTTCAGTCAGAAATCAAGCTGATCCGCATCATCACTGGAGGTTGTGTAATTTTACATACTAGGTACGAAGACAGGTTCATTACTTGCGCTGGTTGGAATGAAATATGCGTAGTGTGTTATCGGATCCTCCAGAAACAATGAGTTCTGGTTCTGACCAATCGCAGCACAAAACCTTTCCTTCGTGTCCCTTCAGATCAAACAGCGGAACCATCTTTTAAGAGGATTTCAGTGAAAAATTCATAATTATATCTCATATAGTTCAAAAGTTATGAAGAAAAGAGTATTTAACAGCAAAATTTAAACGGGCATTTAAAAAATACTACCGCAGGAACAGCACGACAGCGGTATATGCGGGGTATTTAAACCACCACGTCGACGGGTTAATACCAACCTTACACACTGTTCTAATTTCTACATGCTTACTAGCAAGGAGCAGAAATCCCCCACCCTCCTCCTTGCCGAGTACTAGCCATTTGAAGAACATGCGTTTCCTCTGCTGCACCCAGTATAAATTTAATTGGACAAAATATATAACTGCAACCTTCCCTTCAACAATCTTCCCACTGAAAATTTGGTGCCTATTTCCCCACTTCAGTTTCTTCCCAAAATTTTAAACATAAACACTTGACCCGAGTAATATTCATAAAATCTTTATTCTTATCTGTTTGATGTACCTTCTGTTTTATTGCTTTGTACTGAATTAAATGACCTGGTTTTATGTTTCAATATACAAGTTTGTAAACACTTATTAAAACTTTGGTTAAATGAGTCCTTGAGACAGGAAACATTTTTCAAGAGAACATTTGATTTTTCAGTCAGAAATCAAGCTGATCCGCATCATCACTGGAGGTTGTGTAATTTTACATACTAGGTACGAAGACAGGTTCATTACTTGCGCTGGTTGGAATGAAATATGCGTAGTGTGTTATCGGATCCTCCAGAAACAATGAGTTCTGGTTCTGACCAATCGCAGCACAAAACCTTTCCTTCGTGTCCCTTCAGATCAAACAGCGGAACCTTTGGACTGAAACAGCATTGTTAAAACAGCAGATTAGACATTATATATCACTTCTGTTACTTATATAAGACGAATAAACTATTTTATAAAACAGCAGTATGTATTACTATAACCCATTTTAAAACATTCAGACTAGTGACTGTAACATTACGGACCCAGAGCCAAGATCCGTAATATTAGGTTATGTGCGTTGTACTTGAATGTTTCAATTTCTTTTCTGCACAGCTGCAGATCCAAGTGGATTCCAGACACACAGAACTTCATATGATTAATTTTACCAATGGATGATATACGATTAATAATAACAAGCTCTGGGAAGAATCCATAATGCCTACTTTATTTCAATTGTTTTAACCACATAGTAAGACTAACAAGAAATATAATTACCAACAGTATAATTAACGATCATACAATTCAGCCATTAATTTATGTGCATAATTTCTGCCATAAGAGATACTATTACATTTTCCAGATATAACACAAATTCTGCAGTCACCATGTCTATAACTACTAACATTTTAAGAAAATTCATACATATTTTGTAGTATGTTCAAGATCCACCTTCAAACTGAATTTCACTTCGGCTTAGGAAAAAGCACCGAGCATCCAGACCTCAATGTGTTAGCAATGAAATAAGGGAAAAGGAACTACAAAGTTAGTCAAGCTAGAAATTGATCTAAAGAAATCAGTTACCTTCTTGAATCCCAGAGTTTGATAAGGTGGTCATAAGATCCTGATACGAAGAGATGTCCGTCTGTAGTGGACCATCGAACACATTGTACCCACTGAGTATGAGATGTAAATGTGCTTTTCACCAGTGAACCCTCTACCGACAAACAATAAATGTGATGAGTGTACTGAAATTTAACTCCACTTCATACAAATACCTTTCTTCACATATTTCAGTCTATCCAAAAAGACTATCAAGAACTTTAAATGTGTAATTATACTATTTAATTAACCATTTCTGAACACAATTTCCAAAGTTACAGATTCCCAATATACAGTGAAACCTCTATCCATCGTTCCCGGAACTATCGTTTTCCCGGATGCATCGTCCGTTTTGTTCGGTCCCGAATACATCCCATATAAAATAATGTTACATTTTCCCGCTTCTATCGTTCCTCGAACTATCGTTTTATCGCATCAAAAATCTTAGTCCCGGCCCACAATGTTCCCGCAATGATCGTTTCTGAGAAATTAAAATGCTGGGTTTTGAGATAAATTAATACCGAAAGACGCACAATGTTTTTGGAATACACAGTAG